TTTAGGGTTAAAACTGTTGGTTTATTTGCCAATATCTTTCGTCAGTTTGGGGATTTCCAATACAGTGCGCCACCAAGAGTTTGCCACGGAAGTGTTCATTTTTCACAGTGCATTGTGGAGATGGTCGACACATTTCGCAGCGCGTGACACTAAACTTGTTAGTTTGTCCGGTCAGTTGTTTCATAAGCGTATGCTTCAACTATCGTTTTCTTTTCTTTTTATCACAATGGTGTTTTTTTTCTGTGAGGTGACAGAATGCTTTGCCCCGATCTATAAAAAAATTCCTGAAGTTGTCTACTGACTTTGTTCGAATCACGCCATGTTTTTGTCGACTGTTTATTTGAAAATGAACTCTCTGGGGCAAACTCTTGCTGGTGCACTTGTATTAGGAATCGCCATATTGACCCATTGCTGTGTGTAGTGTCTTTTCAAAAAATTAAATGGCCTAATATTTCAGTCTTTAAGCCAAAAGCCGTTTGCCTTTGAGGAAGTCCTTGCTAAGGCTGAAATATCAGGCCGTTTCAATTTCTTGATTTGTATATCTCAGGTCAACCATCCAGTCAGTGAGCAGTTTTCAGCAGTTATATTCATTTTCATGTAATTTCTTTTGTGTAATTTTTGGCAAGAAGAATTTGAGTTTAGCCTGAGCATTGTCACTTTTATGCAAACTAAACTTGATGTTTCAGACGAGATGGATTGTGTCCCAGCTCTGCACGGATACTCAACAAACACCCTGAAGTTTATGCCGGACACCTGTGAATTCTTTACGGTTAGTCTGAATCAATCCAAATCAGATCATAGTCTGAGATTTTGTATTTTGGTACATTAGGAATCAGTAGGGTTATCGCAAAAATAATTTGTGGGACGTAAAATAACACAGAATCGTGCAGAGGCTGAAGTGAAGCTTTGCAGGTATTAGGAAAGAGAAAATCATTCTCCTTGTAAAACTGTTTTATTGCACTTCAGTCAGGCATTCCGTTGACAAGTTATGGCTGTTTAAGGTTCACAGTTATTGACACGTCAAAAAAGTAAAGTACGGAGAAGAAAATCAGGCATCCCACGGTCATGGAATATCCTGGAAAAAAGAAGTAGTCCTGGAAAATCATGGAAAAGTTGTGGAAAATTGGGGACAATAAAAAAAGTCATGGAAAAGTCATGGAAAATTGGGGACAATAAAAAAGTCGTGGAAAAGTCATGGGAAATTGGGGACAATAAAAAAGAGTCATGGAAAAGTCATGGAAAATTTTAGGACAATAAAAAAAGTCCATTGAAAAGTCATGGAAAATTGGGGCAATCAATAAAAAAGTCATGGAAAATTGGGGACAATAAAAAAAAGTCATGGAAATTGGGGACAATAAAAAAGTCATGGAAAAGTCATGGAAAATTTTAGGACAATAAAAAAGTCATTGAAAAGTCATGGAAAATTGGGGACAATAAAAAAGTCATGGAAAATTGGGGACAATAAAAAAAGCCATGGAAAAGTCATGGAAAATTAGGGACAATAAAAAAGTCATGGAAAAGTCATAAATATATAAAGAGCAAACAAGGACTATTTTTGATGGGCCGCTTTGATGTAATGATACCAAGCAACTTGTCTCTGCTAAATGGCGCTAAATGCCATGGATATTGTCATAGTTTTAGTCCTTGAATGTCCTGCAAAAGTCATGGAATTTGGTTTTCAGATTTTTGTGGTAACCCTGAAAACTGTGTTTCCAGTTTTATGTTCAAGAAAATGAAAGTTGCCAAATTTTGTGCAACTTTCTACTCCCCTTAAATGTAGGGAACTATTTGTTTAATTGAAAATGTTCCATGCTTTTCCAGACAACTGAGGGCGCTGTTGCTGTGATGTCATTTCAGGAAGACACTGTTCAGTTTAGGGATTTCTGTTCAAATCGTGAACCCAAAATTTACTCCTTGAAAAAATGTGTGCGAAAGGTTTGCTTATTGGCTTCCAACATATAATCAAGAAAAATTCATGACAGCAAAATATCCCAATTTGTAGCAACTTTTTGTGCTGGAATAGCTGTAACATAGAGGTTTCTGCCTGAAATGACATCACAGTTTGCTCTTGAATATGGACATTTGCATTAGCACAAAAAACCAAAACAGCACCAAATACCCTTGAAAATGGCAAAACGAAATTGAAAATAAGGTTAAATGGGACACAAAGGTGCAATTTCAAGGATTGCATAATTAAATTACATGGGATGGGCCCTTAAATTAGTTGAATTTATCAACTTTAATTATTTGGATGTTTTTCAGGAGACGCAAAATGAGGCAGTTACCCAGGACCCCGACGATCTGATTGATATTCCGAGCCCCTCACCCCCGCCCTCGGAGTACGACTTCTACTCGGATCCAGACGATGCCTTCCCATCATTCACTGCTCAGGATCCCACCGAACCAGAGGACGACTACTTCATGGAGGAATTCCCATCGCAGACTCCAGAGGGCGCCCTTGCTCCGAGGCATTCGCTTGAAGAGATGAGGATTAATCAAGAATCAGCTGGATCCTTCAGTGGCGATAGAGAAACAGAAACGCCAGCAGCTGCTGACTCAAAAGCTTGGTGAGTTGTCCCTGGTTCGATTCCTGCCGGAGCCACTTTGTGGATTATAAATCCAAAAATTGTTTTTCCTCTACCTGAATGTGCTCTTCAGGATTTTGCCTCCAAATTTTGACACCGATTTTCCTTTTAATCTGTGGTAGAAGCTTCTGCTTGTCACTTGGTGGTCGGCGGACGGTCGGTCTGTATGTCTGTCCCTGAAAATTGACCAAAATAAGACCCATAGGTTCCTCATCAAATATAACTACCAAATTTTAATTAAAATAAAATAAAATGAATAACAAAATCAATTCGATACTTCGGAAAGAAGTTCATGAAAGTTTATGTAGCAAATTGATATTGGGAATCGTTCACTGCGAAATGTTTTCTTCTTTCTTTACAAATTCGCAGCTTGAACACTTACTTACTTACATCACAAATTTGATTTTGCATTTGGTTTCTCGAGTAAGAATAAAGCAGGCATGCAACTTTTCCTCGGATCAGCTGATTTCCTCTTTTTTTGACCTCCCCTGTGTGTCATTGAAAATAGAAAAACACTGTACAAAGTCTTGGAAAGATTTGAATTTCCTCGTTTTGTGTGACTTCCCAGGTGCATGCATGATAAGGCCAAACAAAAAAAGTCTCCGGTTTTCTGGTATGGAGCTTGCCCAAAAAGTGGTGCGGCGACGCGGCTTTTTTTTTTTGTACCTGACTTTTTTGCTTCAAATGTCGGCTGATGACTGCAAATGGTGCCCGATTTAACTTAGTGCAAAATGTACGGGAGTCCAGTGAGTCCACATAAAGCTTATTCTCGATCATAACCCAATCTAAAAACACGTTGAAATTGTGCTGCAGCAGCATTCCAGTCAAACCGGTGAGTTTGGCGGTTTTGAGACATCATCTTTTATTGAAAAAAAAAAACTTTTTCATTTTGCCGACGCGCATGGCTACGGCGACGCGCGCGGCATACCAGAAACCAGAGACTTTTTTGGGGGGCCTAAAGGAATCAGCATAAACCAAATAACTGATTGAATAACTAAAAACTACACAAATTTAGATCGTTAATCTGCTGTTAATTCTCTTAATTTTATGTGATTCAGCTTTTCTCATGATGAGAACTTCTACACCAGTCACCCATCGATGCAGCCATTACCTTCAGAGGTAACACTCGGTTTTTTTTTTTTACATTTTGCTTTAAAGGTAGAGTAGATCATTTGCAGCTATCCAAAAAGTAACTCACCAAATTATTGTTGAAAACCTTACTTGGTTTAAAGACGGGGTTTGCAATAAACTCCCTGTGAAATTATTCTTTCTGGCATGCTGTCATTTTGAAGAAAACAATGAAAGAAGGCCATTTCTAAAGATCTGTCAAGTGACACATTTTTGGAAATGTGTGGTCGGTTTGTTATTCGGCGAATCCATAAATGGCTGCACGCAAGCTTTAACACGACGCACACCCTTGCCGGTTGCCGTTATTCATCGGTTTCGGTGCGTGATATCGCGTAGCTGCAATCGGTTTGAATGAGAACGTGTTCCGGACGCTGATCTCAGGCACAATTCAAAACATGACTTGGCAACTTTAGAATTGAAATCGAGATCCTAGAATATTGTTTTTCTCCGAATATACAGCATTCACAGAGTTAAAACTTCATCAGGTTAGTTGTTAAGCACCCGTCTTTAGATATGGAGCACTTTTGTTGCTTCAAACAAAACAAATACACAAATGACAGATGATTTTATCTATCTTTTAATTTCCATTTTGGAATTTGAGCTTAACCCTTTCGTTACCATGGGCGACTTTTGTCGACAAGAAGTACCCCCCTGCTGGTTCCCATGGGCGACTTTAGTCGACCAGGAAACCACACACAGAACACCCTCAACACAGATATATTCACTACTTTTCAGAAAGGCGGCATGTTGATATGTTTGCCCACTCATACATCAACTATACACCAGCTGAAAGAGTGTTTTCGGATCGTTCTAATGGTGTAGTTTATTCATAGTGTTGCCATAACAAAAAAATGAGAAAAGTGCTTTAGAAGTATCCACTCACAAATTGAGGTATGGAGTGCCATTTGGTCATGTGGTAAAATGGCTTGGAGTTTGATGAATGGAACCAGATGAACAAACAGGCATAACTTTCTTATATTTACACATATGGACTTCATTTTTACATCAGATAAAAGAGTAAGGTTCAATGAACAAACTTTACACACACAACATCTATGATTTAAACCACTCCTTGGCAGTGAAAATCTGGGTTGAAAAAAGTGAGTTTTGGACTTGTGGTCATTTTGTTCACGCTCTAGTGATTTCCGTAGGACTGAGCAAACAATTTGGTCCTGGGGAGAGCCAAGTCAATAAACAATGTGGGCATGAAAGGGTTTAAGTAACCCCTAACTTGCTTTTGAAGGGTTGGGTCTCTTTTCAGATTCTGTGGCATCTAATGAAAGGCATTGAAGTACCAAAAGATGTTGTGAGAAATATGAAAGTTGCCCAAACAGATTTTGACAGTCTTTACAAGCTTTGTTGTAAGTTTGAAACAAACGGTCCAAATCACACAGAACAACAACCCTGTCAAGGGTGAAGCAGCCCTCTATCATCTCATGGAAAATAGTTTTACAAAAAAAATGTAGTTTCCTCTGAAAAAAACATTTGACTGCCAGTGCTATATTTTGTTTAAGAAGCGCTGTATATTTCTAGCCTTTTAAAAAATCTGTTAATTCTGATAGATTTCAGTGGCTAGTCTACAGGAACGGCTCAACAGCCTAAAGCAACTGATGTTTGGCGTCATGGAGCAGATATGCGACAACGTAGACACTGCCTTAGTCTCACCAACAGAGGGCGACAGACTGGATCACGTCAAACCTCTATTATCACTCAGGTATACTATTCAGTACTTTTCATTTCATTATTTGTTCATTACAAAGTTTTCAAAAAAGTCTTCCAAAAAAAATCTTAACATATTTGGAAAGCATTTTTTTTAACATTAGAATGATGCAAAATAGTGGATTTTCACTTCACCAGTGTTGTTTTGTAAACACTCAATGACAAGGGCCGATTTCACAAAATTCATCTTATCTTGCGACTCATCTTAGGACTTAAGATGATCCCCCGCTCTAAGCTTGATCTTAGCTAAGACATGTCCTGAGACCGATTTCACTAAACCCATTTTAATCAAGACGCATCAAAACTACCAATTTGATTGCTGTTTCATGTTTGTCCGAGAAGAACAGCCCCCAAAAATGTAGACAAGTCAGATGAAAAAATATCAGCAGCAGATTTAAATGAAGTCTTGTTCGTAGGCATCAACTTCAGAGGCCCTTTGCCTTGTAGTTGATGATTCTCATAAAAAAATATACAGGGTGAGTCAAAATAACGAAACCTAAATGTCGGGACATTGTTTTAGTGAAGTTCTGCATATGGCACTTTTAAAATCTAGGAAATGAAAGCCCAATTCATAAGCTTTCTTTTGAGTACAAGAATCATTCAAATCACTCATCGACTTTTCAAGTTACGGAATTTTAAAGTTTTGTCCACGGATCACAAGAAGGTAAGTGTTCTTTCAGCAAAATGATAACAAATCATATAGGGGTGTATGTGAATTGTTTTTGTTTTGATGAAAGAACGCACACTTTTTTTTGTAATCCGTGGACAGAACTTTAAAACTTGGCTGTGTTATGAAAAGTACATGAGTGATTTGAATGATTCTTGTACTAAAAGAAAGCTTATAAATTGGGCTTTCATGTCCTAGATTTTGAAAGTGCTACATGCAGAACTTCACTAAAACAATAATCGGACATTTGGGTTTCACTTTGTTTGACTCGCCCTGTACTTTCAAAAAGTTTGTCCTGATGATCAATTTTTAAGAATTTGTTGTTGTTGAAAGGAAACGAATGAAAGCCAAACAGAAGCAAGCCGAGGCCAAGCTTAGACAACTCAGCACGGGAACCAATCGCCAGACTTCAACAAGCCCGGTTACCAACCAAGAATCCGCGATCCCCATCATCCATGCGAGGTCGCGACCCCGACCCCGACCCTGACGCCAACGTAGTCTCCCCTTCCAGACGCCAAACACGTCCAACACCAGGACGCCAAACCAAAACGCCTTCAGTTTCAAGTCGAAAACGGGCAACTCGTCCGGGAAGAACTCAGTGACGCCTTTAAACACAACTAACAGAACCCTCAGCATGGTACCCCCCCCTCAGGTACCCCCACCCCAGGTGACAAACCCCCTCAAACAAGGCGTGATAACCACCCCACTCCAGAGGACGCTTCCCAGCACCATCAGTAAGATAAGCCCCGGATTTGCCTCCCCCGATGCCGGTTTTGGCGGAGACGGTTTCTATGACGACTCTCCTGCCATGCCAACCGCATCAGTTTTTAAACACCACAGCACCAGGCTTCACTACTGGGAACAAGAAGAAACCTCTCGAACTTTCTTCAGAGAAGAGACCCCAACCACAACTGGTCAAACAGCACCACAAATTCAAGCCAAGTACTGTACAAAGGGCGTCCGATCTCTCTGTCAACCGAAGGTTGGTTCTTGTCAGATATATTCCATCAACCCTCCTATGCTATTCATTCTGTGCGGAGTTGTCCTTTCAGTCAAAACCAATCAAGTGATTGTTTTCAACAGTTAAGAGCTCCAGCCTGCCAGTACATAAAGCAGGATTGACTGGCTGTGATTGTTTATGTAGCTTGGCACAGCTAGGATTTAGCTGTGGGTGATTGATAAGCCAGCTGTGCCCACAACTTGCCTGCTTTGTCTGTTCATGGTCTGTTGACTGAGTTTGACTGGCCACAGCGCTTGCTTGACATGATCTGACTGCTGGTGACTAGCCTGTGTTAAAAGTATGGCAGGGGAAGTGGATGGATATTTTGACTGTCTGTGACTGTTTAAATAGCAGGAGGGTTAAAGGTAGAGTCTTGCAGCTATCTATAAACTCACTGGCTAAATTATTGTTCAAAGATAGAAATGGCACTGAACTCCCTGTGAAATTATTCCTTCTGGCACGCTGTCATTTTGAAGAAACAATCAAAGAAGGTCATTTCCAAAGATGTGTCAAGTGACGCATTTTTGGAAATGTCCGTTAGTACATGTAGTTGGTTTGTAATTGGGCGAATCCGTGAATGGGTGTGCGCAACATTGTCACGACGCACATGTGCGCGTGGTTACTGTTATTCGTCGGTTCAGTGCGTGATATCACGTAGAGCAATAAGCTGAATGAGAACGTGTCCCGCATGCTGATTTCGGGCACAATTCAAAATCTGACTCGGTGGACTCGGTGATTTTTAAATTGAAATCGACCTCCTAGATAATTGTTTTCACGGAATACAGCATTCACAGAGCTAAAACTTCATCAGGTTAGTTGTTAAGCACCGTCTTTAGATTCTGAGCACTTTCATTGCTTCAAACGAAACACATGCACAAATGATCCACTCTTTCTTAAAATCTGTAAAATGCAGATAATTTGACTCCTCCCCAATTTCCTGTTCCCAGATTGATCACATGAGGATAATTCTCACGCTTGGAATGTATTTCTCTTTGTTCAGTCTCCATTCGGCACAGTCGTTTCAGTGGAACCAATTTCCCCCACTCCAAGGACTGCTCAAGGTGTTCCGTCAGACGTTTGTTTGCATCAGTTCCGTCCTGAGCAACTCGAAGCTATCAACGCAGCGCTGCTCGGTGAAGATTGCTTCGTTCTCATGCCAACAGGTCAGCATCTTCCAAGCCCCCCCCTTTTTTCCTGCACATGCCCTGCCCCTTTTCAATTCTCCCTCCTACCAATCAACATAAAAATAAAATCATTTTTGTACAGTAAATTCATCATTTCAAATTAGGTTGACATATAAACACTGTATACTCACAGTGTTACCTCCCGAGTAAAAGTTGAAAAAAAATCACTCGGGTGGGACTCGAACCCACGACCTCCTACTTTCTAGTGCATATGTCTTACCACTCGACCACCGAGCTAACGGGATCGGTTGGCTGGTTCGAATCTGATGTACATAGCAGCGGGTACCGCATTAACTATTCGTACGATGGAATTTTGCGTCGGGTGATGTAAATCAAATTAGGTTTTGCCCTTCACCGACTTATTTGTTTATTGTTTTGTTGTTATTGTTTTGATGTCAGGTGGAGGCAAGAGTTTGACTTATCAGCTGCCGGGCGTTTTAACGGACGGTGTAACGTTCGTCGTCTCCCCACTCAAGTCACTCATACAAGACCAGGTCCAGCGACTCGTCTCCTTGGAGGTAACATTTGAACCAAACTTTAGGCCTGTCTAAAATTCAAATAGCTTTTTGACGGTTTGAATGTTCGAACACAAGACAACTACGCACTAATGATGTGCATCGGGTCGGGTCGACCAGGCCAAACCGACCCGAAACATTAGAGATATAAACCAAATCCGAACCGAAACAGATCTTAACTCCCTTAAACCGACCCGACCCGCCGACAAAAAAATAAGGTAAAACCGACCCGAACCGACCTGACCCGAAAAAATCCCCCCGAATACCTTGCTTGGACAAAGTGATCTTTTTTTTTTGTGCCTGCCCTTACCCACGTGGCATGAATTCTTTTGCAAAACCATCGTCTCTCTCTCTGTCATACTCAGTGGGCTGATCGAGAGTATTACTCCGCTTATTGAACAAACACATGGTATCATCACGCGGTATCATGAAAACTGTTACAATGTATCTATTTCACTGTCAGTCCCATCCCACTGGAGAAATTAATATCGTGTGGCCACTCCACACAATGGGCTGCGGTCACAGTGACTGTCAGTAATATTGCATCACCTAAATTTCTCAACTGTTTCGGGTTATTTCGGTTTTTTCAAAAGATGGCTAAACCGACCCGACCCAACCCCAAAAATGAAAATGCAAAACCGAAACCGACCCGACCCGACTGAAAAGATGGACAAACCGACCCGACCCGACCCGAAGTCGGTTTCGGGTCGGGTCGGTTTCGGGTCGGGTTTGCACATCATTACTACACACACACAGGGCGAGTAAAAAAAAAAGGAATGCCAATGTTGGGACTATTGTTTTGGAGAAGTCCTGCATGTAACACTTTCAAAATCTAGGATATGAAAGCCCAATTCATAAGCTTTCTTTTAGTACTGGAATCATTCAAAACTTGTCAAGTTACGGAATTTTTAACACTCACCATTTTAAAGTTCTGTCCATGGGTCACAAAAAAAAATTTTTTTTAGCAAAACAAAAACAATTCACTCACATCCCTATGTGATTTGTTTTCGTTTTGCTGAAAGAACACTTAGCTTTTTGTGATCCATGGACAGAACTTTAGAACGGTGGTTGTGTTTAAAGCTGTAACTTGAAAATTACAGTACAGAGGCTTATTTGATACAGCCGTGCTTTGACTGGTTGCGATTGATATACCAGCTTTACCTACCAGATACATCTTTTGTCCGTTGATGGAATTTGACTAGTCACAGTGTTTACACAAATGTGATCTGACGGGTTTTCACAAGTCAAATGCATGGCTGGAAAGTGGAAGGACTATTTGACTGTCTGTGACTGATCAAACACTTGGAGGGTTGTCATTGATTTCTTGCTTGTTTCTTTAGATTCCTGCTGCGCATTTATCTGGTGAATTGAAGTCGGATTTTGTGGATTCCATCTACCGTCAGTTGTCTCTTAGAGACCCAGGAGTCAAGCTGCTCTATGTCACTCCGGAGAAGGTAAACCACTGATCCTGCAAATTTTAACTGTCAACAAATGTCAGTAAAATCCACTGTTAACATTTTTGCATTATCTTTTTTTTCCAATGACAGGAAACCTAATCATTATTGTATTAGGATCAAAGGCTAACCATTGCAACAAGAGTGATTTGATTTTGATTTTGATTTTGAATTTGATTTTGATTTTGATTTTGAATTTGATTTTGATTTGATTTTGATCTTGATTTTGAATTTGAATTTGATTTTGATTTTGATTTTGATTTTGATTTTGATTTTGATTTTGATTTTGATTTTGATTTTGATTTTGATTTTGATTGATTTGATTGATTTGATTGATTTGATTGATTTGATTGATTTGATTGATTTGATTGATTTGATTGATCTGATTGATTTGATTGATTTGATTTTGATATTGATTTTAGATCAGCGCAAGTACCAAGCTCATCTCGGCCATGGAGCATCTGTATCACAGGAAGATGCTTGCTCGGTTTGTCATCGATGAAGCCCACTGCGTCAGCCAAGTAAGCAGATGAACAGACCAACTAACAAACAGCAAAGACAGACAGACAGACAGACAGCCATCAACAAACAGACATGACAGCTTAGTCCCTAAAGAAACCACAGTGTTTTAGTTGCAGATCTAATGAGAATTAAGTCTGAACTTATGATGAAGCATGACGCCAAGTTCAATTGTATATCAGTGGAATTACGTCATCTAATTGATGACGCTCATTGAAATCATGAAGTCATGAAATAGTTGCAGGATCATTTTTCTCAAATCTCGGAATTTGTCATTTCAATTTTGCAGTGGGGTCACGATTTCCGCCCAGACTACAAGAAACTGTGCAAGCTGCGCCAGAAGTTCCCCGGTGTCCCCGTCATGGCTTTAACGGCTACGGCTACCCCAAGAGTACAGAAGGATATACTGCACCAGCTGGCAATGCCAAAGCCACAGATGTAAGCCATAGCCATGACTATAAAGACCCTGTCGCACTGTCACGTCCATGCATGGCGTTCATTTTGCGTTGTTGAAATTGTTTAAAATGCCACAAAATGCCACTAAGATGTAGGATTCAGCGTCCTTGCGGTGTTCTCCATGAGTTCCATTGAAGACTAAATTGAAGTCTTCGTGGCGTCCTCTGCATCCTCCCTACGTCCTCATGGCGTCCAATAAGTTTGTACGAAGTTCTTGAAGTCCTTATCGCGCGCTTGATGCAACCTTCAAATGTATGTGTGACGTCAGCAGCCAGAAGCACGGCGTGTATTAATACTCGGGCCAAAATTGGCGATTGTCATTGAGTCTTCACATTTTAAACGCCAGAGACGCAGGAGACTTCGAGGAGACGTGCAGTCGATCCTGATGCATGCACATCCGTGGAGTTCTCACGACGTCGCTCCCATCTGCCTGCGCGTTGCCATTATGTCACGGTCGTTTGCGAGGAGTTTGTGCAGAGTCCTTACCACGTTCTGGTCAAAACGCCGAGGCGCGGCGTTTGTTTTTGTGCATGTCCAAAACGAACGCCGCAGTTTGGCGTTCAGCGAAGCCCTTGGAGTTCCTCTGAAGTCTTCAACTAGTTTCAATGAGTCCCCACGCGCGTCATCTGCGTTCCCTCCGCATTTCAGTCAATTTTCAGTTCAATTGCCAGAATGCGACAGTGTGACGGGACCTTTTGATAGCGTTTTGAGGACTTGTGATGGACTGGGCTATAAACACTAACACATTTTGTGCAACTTTCTACTCCTCCGGACAACTGCGGCCAACTGTGATGCCAATTCAGGTAGACACTCAGTTTAAGGGTATCCATTGACAATGTGAACCCAAAATTTGCTCATTGAAAACATTTGTGTGAAGTTTGCTCATTGTTTACTAGGGTGCTGTGGTCCAATGGTTACGGTGTTCGACTTGTGTGCCGTGGTACATGGGTTCAAATCCTGACCGTGGGAACATGGTGCTTGTGCTCTTGAGCAAGGCACTTTACCATTATTGCTTCGTCCTTCGGATGGGACGTAAAGCCGTAGGTCCCGTGTGTTGTGTAATGCACGTTAAAGAACCCAGTAACGATTATCGCTAAAGAGAAGGGGTTTGCCCCGGTGTTTCTGGCAGTGGCTGCAATATGCACCGCAGCACATAAGCTTGTAAACCCCTTATAAAGGTGCTACATAATGGGTCTCATATTTCTCATAAACTTCATTTACCTGTCTTTAATAATAAACATAATTTCCAGTGCCTTGAGTACCTAATTGTTGGTAGATATATGTGCTTGCGCTATATAAGATTCCGGTATTATCATTATTATTCTTATTAGTGACACAACAACGAATCACCAAAGCAAAGACACTTTACGACAGCAAAATATCCAAAAATTCTGACATTTGATGCTGAAATAGATGTAACATTGGGGTTTCTGCCTGAAATGACATCCACTTTTGCTCATGAATATGGAAATTTGCATTCGCATAAAAATCAAACAGGCACCAAATACCAGGCATGGAACTTTTCCTCGGATCCGCTGATTTCCTCGTTTTTTACTGCTCATGAACGCCATTACAATTGAAAAACACTGTACAAAGTCTTGTGTGGTTTGGAATTTCCTCGTTGTTTTCTAAATTTGCAGTTGCACGCCTGAAATACCCTTGAAAATGTCAAAACGAAAATTGCAAATAAGGTTAAATGGGATACAAAGGGCATTTCCAAGGATGTATTTAATGTATTTTATTGTCTCTTTATTTTGTTCAGATTCACTCGTAGTTTTGATCGGAGCAATCTCCAGTTTTCTGTCAAAAAGAAAGAGCCTCGCAAACTGATTCAGCACATCACGCAGCTACTACAATCCACGTTCAGGGGCCAGTCGGGCATCATCTACTGCCTCTCAAGGTACCACCGCTGTTTCATGTGTGGCATTTTTAGAACAAATTAAGTTTGTTGTGAGTAATAATTGACACGAACCATGTTCAGGGGGTCATCGGGGATAATCTACTGCCTCTCAAGGTACCACCGCTGTTTCATGTGTGGCATTTTTAGAACAAATTAAGATTGTTGTGAGTAATAATTGACACAAACCATGTTCAGGGGCCAGTCGGGCATCATCTACTGCCTCTCAAGGTACCACCGCTGTTTCATGTGTGGCATTTTTAGAACAAATTAAGATTGTTGTGAGTAATAATTGACACAAACCATGTTCAGGGGCCAGTCGGGCATCATCGACTGCCTCTCAAGGTACCACCGCTGTTTCATGTGTGGCATTTTTAGAACAAAGTAAGTTTGTTGTGAGTAATAATTGACACGAACCATGTTCAGGGGCCAGTCCGGCATCATCTACTGCCTCTCAAGGTACCACCGCTGTTTCATGTGTGGCATTTTTAGAACAAATTAAGTTTGTTGTGAGTAACAATTGGCACAAACCATGTTTAGGGGCCAGTCATGGTCAATCTAGTATCATTACTTGTGTGTCAAGTTACAACTGCTGTTTCCAGTGAGAGAATTAGGGAAACTACTGCAAACTAGTAAAGTTATAATTTCAGTGTTCACACAGCTACTACATATACAAAGTGCAAACCATGTTCAGGGGCCACTGCCTCTCCCAGTGTCTATACACATTTTACAACTGATATTTCATGTAAGTTTTCTTTTGGACATGAATCCAGGGGCCAAAAAATTTGCTTGGCATGAACATTTTTCCTTGATAAAAAAAACAGTCATTGCAAAACATGTTAAGAGGCCACTAGTACTGCAGCTCCTTGTATCTATGTACAACTGCTGTTGCATGTATTTTTTAGGACATGAATTCAGTATACATGTAGTATCCATTGCTTTGTCTTCAATATTTTTCACAATTTTTCGTTTTATTTTCTAGGAAAGAATGCGAGAAGACGGCCGAAGATTTATGCCGGAACGGAATCAAGGCGTGTCCCTACCACGCTGGCCAGAGTGACTCGGACCGAGCGAGGGTACAGGAGAAATGGATCAGCGATGAATACAAGGTTTGTAGGAGGCGTGGAACCAGTCCTTGCAGGGAACCAGTGAAATTAAGAATAAATGCGCTGTTAACAAAATAGTGTTTTGTGATCAAAAGGTTGTGCATTTTTTACAAACTTTTTGGGGGGGGGTTCAAAAAAGGTTTAATATCCACTGAACAGATCGAAACTTCTAGGTTTGTAGGAGGCATGGAACCAGTGCTGGCAGGGAACCAGTGAAATTAAGAATAAAATGAGCTGTTAACAAAATCTTGTTTTGTGATCAAAAGGTCGTGCATTTTTTACAACTTTTGGGGGGTTGGAAAAAAGGTTTAATATCCACTGAACGGATCGAAACTTCAAGGTTTGTAGGAGGCGTGGAACCAGTGCTGGCAGGGAACCAGTGAAATTAAGAATAAAATGCGCTGTTAACAAAATAGTGTTTTGTGATCAAAAGGTTGTGCATTTTTTACAAACTTTTGGGGGGGGTTGAAAAAAGGTTTAATATCCACTGAACGGATCGAAACTTCAAGGTTTGTAGGAGGCATGGAACCAGTGCTGGCAGGGAACCAGTGAAATTAAGAATAAAATGAGCTGTTAACAAAATCTTGTTTTGTGATCAAAAGGTCGTGCATTTAAAAAAAAAAAAATTGGGGGGGGGTGGAAAAAGGTTTAATATCCACTGAACTGATCGAAACTCCAACAGGTTAGGTTTTAAGCATTCTTCTTTGGATTTTGAGTGGTGTTATTATTGTAAATGAAAAAAAGAAAGATTAAAAGTAAATGGTCTTTAACCATTTGGCAACAAGATTATTTTTGCCGCTAAATTTTGATTTACGAAATAGGCAAAATATAGCAGGCAACTTTTGATATATAGCCAAACGCCACAAATACTGTTTCGCAAGAGTCATTTTGAACAGTATTTGCACGATATTGCTTACCGCAACCTCATATTTTTCGACAGACTTCACAGACTTTAATTGTGTGTTTGTACAAAAGGCACGATGGATTAGTGTGTTTAGACGTCACCCGGAGGCGAGTCGAGGCAATCTTGACGTTTTACCCCCGTCAGCCGTGCCTGTGTATAAAAACAGCCAGTGCGCGTTATCACGGCCTCCGGCGCGAAGTGGTTGACAAAATAATGATTTGTGACCAAAAGCTTGTTCATTTGTCACTGTTTCCTAAAAAGTGTAATATCCACTGAGCTGAAATTTCAAACAGGTATCGATCAATCTTTGGATTTTGAGTGGTTTAACTATTGAAAAATGATCAAACTCAATGAGATGTTAAAAGACAACCTAACTAGTTTCAAAGTCTTCTTCCAAACTTGTGTTAAGAAATTTGTGATTTAAAGGGAATAAACAACATTTGCAAACACCAAAAAACAAAACTCCCAAATTATTATGAAATACGTTACTGGACTGTTAGTGAATGACAGTCTAATGCATCCTGTAAATCATGGCACCTGGTGTGCTGACATTTTCAAGAAAACTGCTTTTTTTGTATCGATTCCAATGCCGGTAGACTGACCAGCATTGGAGAAAAAAAAACTTGCGTTTTTCAAATGATGCTCCCAGTTTACCATATTTAGTGAGTCCGCATTTTGTTTGCAATCGATTACACACCTATGAATGGGTACAAGACAGGTAGACTGGTTCCCAACCTTGTTATAATTCCCTGACCTTATTATAATTCCCTGACGTACATAAATTGCTCAGTTTCATCTTAAGTGGGGTCAGGCAACCAGACTACAAGAACATGATTGTTTTTCTTGGTTTTTCCAGAATCTACGAACACAAAATGTCAAAGAAGTCAGTGTAACAATATTTGCTACAAAAATACGAACCCCCCGAAATCCCTCCATTTCTGAAAATAACAGGGAAAGCAAACATTGTATAGGCCTATTGACCTATCGCGGTAGAATCGCGTCAACGCAGCTTGTGAAATATTGTCCAATTACATGATATAGAAATGGACGCGGAACGCACAAAATCTGAGACAAACAAAACTGAGTGAACAGAAACACCACAGGTTTGTGCAAGGGGCGTGGCTAACTCGCAAACGGCGATAGGTCAGTTCCCTTTTAAAGTTGATACCGTGACTGCAATCGTTTTTCGTTGCAGGTTGTGTGTGCTACCATAGCCTTCGGTATGGGGATAGATAAACCGGATGTACGTTTCGTCATGCATTACTCTCTACCCAAGTCGATGGAGGGCTACTACCAGGAAGCCGGGAGGGCAGGTCGAGATGGAGAGCTCGCCAAGTGTATCTTGTATTACTCCTATCAAGACGTTACCAGATTACGCCGGATGGTGGAAGGTACGTTGTTGAATTCTACGGTCTTGGATTCCCACAAAACCATAGCAAACAGTTCTTCTCCAACTCACAAATTTCTTGGTTTTTTTTTGGATTTCTTTCGCTTGATGCTACAGCAAACTTCAACATTTCGCTTGACATTTTATCTCCGGTTTCTGGTCTGCGCGCGCATCGCTGTAGCCATGTAAGATGATGATGTATAAAAAAGCGCCAAACTCAGTGGTTTAACTGGAGTCCTGCTGTTGGACAATTTTTGACGTATAGCAGGGTGGGAAATCTCAGCTTAAAAGCTGATTTCAGCTTTTTTTGTTTTGGATTTCAGCTTTTTTCCCTCACTTGCTGTGTACAAAAGTATAGGAGATTTCCAAAGTTCAGCTTTTTTTACACCGCTTTCAGCTGTTTTCAGCTATATTTTATCAGTGGTTACTCACATCCCTGGTATAGATGGGGTAACGATCAAGTGTAAGCTTTATGTGGCCTCTCTGGGCTCCGATATTTTGCACTATAAATTTAGTCGGGCGCCATTTGCAGACGGTGTTGTAATTTTGTAATTGTGCATCTGGAAGCCAGACTGAGGGAGCGGTGGTATTGTATCTGGAACCTGTAAACGCTTTTTAATTAGCGCAATATGTAAGGGAGCAGACTAATGAGCAGCCGGGCAGCACGTGCACGATGTCGATGTCGATGTCGCTGTATGGTCTGGCATTACTGTTTTTCTCTGATTTTGTCTTGACTATCTAAATTTCCAAAAGAATGTTTGTGTCGGTCGAGATCGTAAGTGGGTGCAAAATTCTCAAGCCTTATGGCCTTACTGAGGTCACCTCAAGCTCCACCCCGAAGGCTATTTTTGAGAGTTTTAAGGGGATCGAAGCGTCATCTGCAACATCAGCCGACATTGGAAGGAAAAAAATAGGGGGGGGGGGAATGCTGCTCACCACTTTTGGGGCAAGCTCCATACCAGAAACCAGAGACTTTTTGGGGGCCTAATCCTAAGAATGTCAAGGCCTAATAACTCTGTTTTGCTAATTTACTTTCATAAACGGGGCCCTTTGTGTTGTTTATGGCCTGCTAGTTCATTTCGAAGAGGAATATTGGGTTTTTCCCCTTTAATTAGGCAACTTTTTGTCCTGACCTAATCAAATTGTTGTTGTTTTTTTTACTTTTTTTTTGAGGGGGGGGGGACAACATTTTTTTCAAAGTTAAAAAATTCAAAAGCCTGCTGTTTTGAATCCACATTTATGAATTACCTATTGGTCAAGAGCCCGTCACGTGGCCAGTTTCTAACAGTTGAAAAAGACCGGCTGGTCGGTCTTAAACAATTTTCCAGTGTCACATGAAATTCGGACCCCTATGAAATCTGGTGCCAGCACCGTTTTATTGGTTGAACGTTCACAATCATCACGTAGGCATGCACAATACTACCAGTGAGTCAGTATTTCATAGTCCTAAATTCACACTAAATTTTGGTAAATTTGCATTCTGCGCGGCATCACGCAGTACGCACAACATGTGCGCCAATCTCCATATAAGGAGTTGTTTACCAGAGGGCCTTTCCATTCCATAGCTAGAGGGGTGATTTGTTGAACAGAATTGTTGAAAATTTATTAATATTTGACTTCTTTTTTTTTAAACTTTGGTTTTATTAGACTGGTTGGAGTTTGGATGCTGATAATTACCCACGCCAAAGAATTATTAGCATTTAGACTCCAACCAGTCATAAACAGAGTGTTTAAAATTGGCCAAGCACACATTTGTTCCCTTTAAAAAAACAATTAAAAAACAACAATCAGCCCATTGTCAAAAAATCATAAGTCCAATCACAGTTTGGATCGTGTAACATTGGACGAACAATAACAAAGGAATCCCGTTGTCAAGTTCATTTGAAGAACTTGCTGACTTTATTTAGGACTAGATGACTTGTGATGGACTCATGGACAATGCTGACGCATACACACCTTTCGCGAACAAAAGAGGGCGCTATTGATTATTTTTGAAAGTGGCGTGACACAGCGCGTGCGCACACTGGTTCACGCGCGTATGGCGCGAAGTATGCACGGCTAATTCTGTTTTTTTTTCACGTCTTTGCGTGAGCTAACGCGTGGCTGGCACTGCCTTCAAATGTCTCTCCCAGTGGTCTCCCCCCACTCTCCCTTTCTTACCGTTGAGGGGGTACTTGTGTTTGGAGGTCAACTTCCCTTCTTTTGTCGCAACAGGTGATAGAGACAATAATTATGAAGTGACGAAAGTCCATCTGGACAACCTGTATCGCATGGTGCAGTTCTGCGAGAACAGCGTGGATTGTCGACGCGTGCAGTTGCTGAATTACTTCGGAGAAACAACTTACACCAAGGAGAAGTGTCTGCAGAATCGACAGACCGCCTGCGATAACTGTCTGTCTGGGGTGAGTAGTATCTAGTCAATCGGTAGTCACTCCCAAGTCACAAGTGATCATAGATCAAATCAGAATGATCATAAGACTATAGCTTGTGATGACTTGTGATGCCGTGTGATGACTTGTTTTGCAATTGTGATTGACTTTTCGTGACTTGTGATTGATTTGTGATGACTTGAGGTTGACTTGTGATTGACTTGTGATTGACTTGTGATGCCTTGTGATGGATTTGTGATTGACTGGTGATGGATTTGTAATTGACTTGTGATGGACTTGTGATGACTTGTGATTGACTTGTGATGAAATGTGATGGACTTGTGATTGAATTGTGATGGACTTGTGATTGACCTGCGATGACTCGTGATGCGTTGTGGTTGATTTGTGGTTGACTTGTGATTACTTGTGATGGACTTGTTATGACTTGTGATTGACTTGTGATGGACTTGTGATTGACTTGTGATGGACTTGTGATGGACTTGTGATGGACTTGTGATGGACTTGTGATGGACTTGTGATGGACTTGTGATGGACTTGTGATGGACTTGTGATGGACTTGTGATGGACTTGTGATGGACTTGTGATGGACTTGTGATGGACTTGTGATGGACTTGTGATGGACTTGTGATGGACTTGTGATGGACTTGTGATGACTTGTGATTGACTTGTGATGACTTGTGATGGACTTATTGAATAGTACTGCACTCTACGGCACCATGATACCTGTGGTTAATTAATCCAATTTCACAACCAGTTGCAATAAACACATTTCTTTCCCTTCATTCAGAGTGCCTACTCCACTGTTGACATGACCAGCATCGCTAAGAAGATTGTGGAGTTTGCTAAGCAGATCGATGGAGCTCCGTCATCATCAGGCAGGGATACAAGAGACGATACGCCCCCCAGTTCACCCTCAATCACTACGCTGATGTACTCATGGGTAAACAATTCCTGCTTATCGTAGAAAGTTGCTAAACAGGGAAAATATGTGCTAAACGCAGAACAGGTTCCAACCAAAGTGTCATGCAGTGTTTATTGTGTTTGACTGGTCCCAAGTTTATTTGTGCTTACTGCACGAATTCCGTCATTTCTGCTTAACAGCACCACAATACCCCCCCCCCCCTTCCTGCCTCATCACCTACCCCTAACACCCTTCCCCAAACAATCACCTCCCCCACCCCACCCCAAGGAGTTTATGTTAAAATCTCATTCAAATCTAGCTGCTGGTCATGTTGTGTCCTTGGGCAAGTCACTTTACCCCACCTGCCTCTCTCCCCTCTCTCCACCCAGGAGCTTAGCTGGGGAGTAACGTGCCATGGACTAGCATCCCATCCAGGGGCAATAGAAATATTCATTCTCCTGACCATATTTTGTGTCCTTGGGCAAGCCACTTTACCCCACTTGCCCCTCTCCACCCAGGAGTATAAATGGGTACCGCCATTAGCTGGGGAGTAACCTGCGATGGACTAGCATCCCATCCAGGGGCAATAGAAATATTCAGTCTCCTGGCCATATGTTGTGTCCTTTGGCAAGCCACTTTACCCCACTTGCCCCTCTCCACCCAGGAATATAAATGAGTACCACCATTAGCTGGGGAGTAACCTGCGATGGACTAGCATCCCATCCAGGGGGAATAGAAATATTCAGTCTCCTGGCCATATGTTGTGTCCTTTGGCAAGCCACTTTACCCCACTTGCCCCTCTCCACCCAGGAGTATAAATGGGTACCGGCATTAGCTGGGGTCGGGGAGTAACCTGCGATGGACTGGCATCCCATCCAGGGGGAATAGAAATATTCTCAGTCTCCTGGCCATATGTTGTGTCCTTGGGCAAGCCATTTCACCCCACTTGCCTCTCTCCACCCAGGAATATAAATGGTACCGCCATTAGCTGGGGAGTAACCTGCGATGGACAAGCATCTCATCCAGGGGCAATAGAAATATCCTCAGTAATTTCATGATTATGAAACCGGAAATGGGCGCGGCCACATTGGCTTGTGACAGAGGTTACTGTTTACTTTACTCACTGAGCCGATGCAGTGCATCGAGTTTACCGCCCAGTGTCGAAAGGACTACCCCAGTGAAATTGGAAGCAGTTACGGCACTTTTGTTTGATTTCCTTACCCCAACAGGAAGTAACTCGGCCAAGGTCACTCAGAACGGACACGCCAGCAGCCCGATCTACAACCTGATGAAGGGTCGGGATTATCAACGTCACGACTGCGAGAGACTTCTACGTAAGATGGTCCTAGATGGACTACTGCGGGAAGAGTTGGTGATCGGAGCTCACGATCAGGCGCTGTGTTACGTCAAAGTCGGACCTAAGGCCTTCGATTTGCTGTCTGGACGTTCAAAGGTGCGCCTTCAAAGCCTTCTCGTAGATACTTTTTTAAAACCTTGATGAAATGCAGAAGTATTCTCATGCAAACATTCTGCGCAAAGTTGTCGTGTCAGTCAAAATCAGTCAAGCGACTGTTTTTAACGACCGAGTTGTCCCTGCCTACGTAGAGCAGGACAGACTGGGACCTTAAGTGCTCCAAACGATGCAAAAGAAGATCAGGCCAACTTCACTCACTCTTTAGCCAGCAAATTTCTCCAAAACTTTCATGGGGCAAAGAAAAGTTCCTCAGTATTTCACCAACAAAGTTTGAATACAAAATGTTGATATTGTCATGATTATTGGTCGATGTGTGGGATTCCGGAACTGTCGAAAATCCCATGGACTAAACGTGAGAGAGTATTGGTGAAAAAAGTAGTTGCACGTCGGGCTGGCAACCTTGAACTTTTGGTTGTCCGACCAAATATTTTTGTTGTCCCTGGACGTCGGGCAGCTGATTTCACGAACCCTGCAGACATCTTGCCTTTTTCTCAAAATGCTAATATCCCTGAGCTGAAACCTCAACAAGTTATCGTGCACTTGACATTTGGAGCAACTTTGTCGCTTCAGACATAAAAAATGTCCATTTTTTTTTTTCAGATGGAACTAAAATTGACCAACGCCAAAGCCGCCAAAGCCTTGCAGATGTCCACTCAAGTTCCAAACGAGGCCCTCAACGCACCGAGACAGAAACTCCTGGATGAGTTACGAGTCATCCGCAGGCAGATTGCTGTGGAAAGCAACATGAACCCTGATAACGTCTTCAACGGTAAAACAAAATTAAATTTCGGTTTTAATTTTCCAGGGGTCTACTAGTCATAGTGAACCATGCATACTTGTCAATCAATCAATCAATTAATCAAACAATACGCTTCGACCAATCAGATCACTGCATCTGATCAGGTGACCGTGGGCAAACTCGGGGGAGTCAGGTTGGCGTTGCGGTACTTTCCTCGCCTTCCACTGCTGTGACCCGGGTTCGAATCCCGCCTGGGCCAGCATGTGGATTGGGTTTGCAGTCCCTGCCTGATTCCGTGGATTTTCCTCAGAATGTTCTCCTGGGCTTTTCCTCCCACTTCTAAAAACTGTAATTTCTTCTCATTGTCTTCTCTCCACAGGTTTCTTCAGGCTTGCGAGCTACAGTGCCTAGGGCGCTTTGGAGGAATCCTTTGTTTCAGTACCAGAAATATTATGATAAATGATAATATAAAGGGTCAGAAATCACAGTGAAAAACGTACATAACCCAAAAGCAGGCGGGCTAACGCCGAGTCAATTATTTACTTGTGATTTTTTATTTTTGTCAGATGAGACGTTGAGAGAGATGGCTGACCAGCTGCCGATGGCCAAAGAGGAACTGGTGGAGCTGACCGGAGTGACCGTTCCTAAAGCCACTCGTTTCGGCCAGCGATTTCTGGAGACGATCACCAAATACCTGCCGGATATGTTACAAGGTAAGCTAGGTTGAGTGTAATTTGAAAATCAATCAAACACTGACCAATTCTGATGAGGGATACTTTTTTTTTTTTGCGATTATTTGTACTTCAAGGGCCCAGAAGTGTTTTTTTTTCTTAGGAACACATTTTCTGATCCTTTCTAATCTTCTGAAGTGTTTGAAAACTTATTGGCATCCCTTTTTGGTGAATTTTACCGAAAAGTGCACTTCTTTAAACATTTGAAATGGTCCATGCTTTTCGGCGCTGTTGCTGTGATGTCAGAGGAGTTGTTTACATCTTACTCGTCAGCTGGACACTCCATTATTGAGCTAGAGGGGTGTTTCAAAAAACATGAAGTGAACTTGTTGAACAAGATCGGGGTTCATTTTTACCGAAAACTTTAGATTTTTTTGACCGAAAAGGTATTTATGAATGGGAATGAATATGTGTTTGGTTGGTATTAATCAAGACCGCTTAGAGTCTGGGTGCTGATAATTACCCTCGCCTTCGGCTCGGGTAATTATCAGCACCCAGACTCTAAGCGGTCTTAAACAGAGTGATTAAAACCTCCGGAGCACACATTTTATTCGCTTTTTATTTGCATACTTTATTGGTTTACAGAGGAAGATGATTTTGCAAGCTCTGATCCATCCTCTTCGGTTTATTTCAACAACACCGTCGCTAACACAGCCACAAATGCCGCACAGATAGCCGATCGTCCAAACGAGCGCCGCGCAAGAGAAAACGCGAAGGTAACAACAACCCAACGAAGAGTAAACGTGTCCGCGCCGCATCCAACAAGAGAAAAGGCAACGACGGAAGCGACAGCAACAACGCCTCAAACGGATTCAACTTCAACAGTGGAGCCGGACACCAGACTACTAATTTGAATCAGTTCAAGTTCCAGAAGCCATCCGGTGGGGTGGAGGGGGCGGGGGGAAGGGAAGGTTTAAGGGCGGGGGGAAGGTCGGTGGTGGGCAGGGTCGGTTGGGTTTATGCCAGATCCTAAACCCCGACAAGGGTTCGGGAGAAGTTTCCTGGCAAATGGCGGCCAATTCCCGGGCTGATATTCCCGGGTTATGAATATTCATGAAGTGAATTCCAAGCAACGCAGTTCAGCTTTCAATAATAAGCAACAGATTCTTATAGGAGTAAATAACCATGTATACAAAGAAAATCATCTTAACGGCAAAATTGTAAAACAAAAGCAAAAAATCACCTTATATGCTATATTTTGGTGTAAATTTGGCCTATAAACCGAATTGTTTTTCTTATCTTTTTGTATCAGCCTGTTTTTTTATGACTTCATGAAGCATTTGAAAGCATTAGGTTTATACAGGGTGACTCAGAGACTCTAAACAAAAAGTTATGGGAATTGGGGGCATTAAAATATTTGTTTGGGGGGGGGGAAAGACAAAATAAAATCTTAAGCCCGTGTAGGCCCATCGTCAATGGTCCGGAAATAAGCCACTAGAGCAACTTGGAAGTGTAGACGTTTTTATAAATGAGAAATGTAAGAAAACCGCAGAATGGTGTATAACAAATCGACAATGTTTTCACTAGGTGACAAAAGCCTGCAAAATCAAAAAAATTTCGATTTTGAGTTTTGCCGGCCAATTTATTGCACTTGACAAGAAGAAGAATTTGGCTAATTTGCATAATTGCAATTGTTTTACTGCCCCTGTATTTTACAAATCGCTTAAAGACCACCAGAGGTTAATTTTATTACTTTCTTGTTTTAAATTTATGTGAATATGTTATTAGAAATAAAACATTTTATATATTTGAATGAAATGACGTCACAATATAATTCCTTTGTCCCAGTATTAGTTCTTCTTCAAAAGTTTATTCCTGTTTTCATTTTATGTCTTTAAGTCATCAAAGAAAAAGAACTTAAATTCAATAACGCATTCAAATTAAAAGCGCAATAGGCCTGCAACATGATTTTTATTGGGGGGGGGGGGAATTGTTAAAAAAAAGATATCTAATTAACATTATTGGTACACGGTACATTCTCAAAACCCTTATTCTTAATTTTTAATAACCCATTTCCCCAATAAGCCATTTGCGAGTAACCTATACCCTTTGGGATTTACATTTGAAACATCTGGTACACTGACTTGCTCAGAATGCTTGGCACATTTTAACTTTGAATTCTCCAGGCCAAAGACACTGTTGCTATATCACATGATTCGGGAAGCTCTTGCATAGTTACAATACATTGTTCACAATGGGTGAGAATGGCACAAAGACACCAGACCATGCCGGAGCTGAGGGTTGCTAGCATAAGGCTTGCCCCGAATCACGTGATATAGTAACAGTCTCTTTGGTCAGGAGAATGCTAGGTTAAAACGTGCAAAGCATTGTATTAAGTCAGCGTTCCAGATTTTATTCAAATTTAACTCGCAAATGGCTTATTCCGAAGCAAAAAGAAAAACGGATAACGAAACACATTTCCCAATTCCTAAGCAAAAAGAACAACGGATAACTATATTTCCAATTTCCCGCGCAAAATAGGATAACGGACTTCGAATCCAAAATCCTATCTCGACAGCTACAGCCAAACGGAAAACGAATAACGATTCCCACTTTCCTATTCGACAGTTAAACGGAAAACGAATAACGATTCCCATTTCTCGACTCGAAACAAAACGGAAAACGAATAACGATTCCCACTTCCCTATTCGAAAGCAAAACGGAAAACGAATAACGATTCCCATTTCCCGTCTCGAAAGCAAAGCGGACAGCTCAATCGGTTGCAACATTCTTTGCCAATATTGTGTGATATTCTGACTTCATTTCTTTATTTCATCTGTAAAAACATTAAATGTTTACTGCCTTTCTTTAAATGGAAGATACAACATTTGCAAACATCACAAAACGAAATGATCAAATTAACGCGAAATACCTTAATGGATTGTTGGGGAATGACAGTCTAAAGCATCCTGTAAAATTGTGGCTCCTAATGTGCTGACATTTTTAAAAAAATGGTACTTTTCCAACGCTGGTCGGCCGACCAGCATTGGAGAAAACTGGCTATTTTTCAAAAATTGCTCCGAATTTTTCATAATTAGTTATTCCGCATTTTCTTTGCAATTGATTACACACCTTTGAAGAGGTTTAAGTCTGCTAGACTGATTCGCTGACCTTATGATTCCCCAAAGTCTATTAATTGCTCCGTTTTATCTTATAAGTGGGGTCACCAGACTGCAAATACATGTCTGGTTTTCTTGGCTTTTCCAGCATCTACAAGCCCAAACGTGAAAAAAGTCATTTTAACAATATTTGCTAAAACATTCTCCTCCAAATCCATTTATTTCTGAAAATTGCAGCGAAAGCAAATGTTGTACATGCCCTTTAAGTCCGATAATCTTATCTTGCAGTGTCAATATTGTGTAGGTGAATTTTAAAAGTAAATGTGTACTTAAAATGTTGTTGAAATGCTGTGCATAGTTCTTTGAATAAAGGGATATTAAATCATCACAATAAATAAAAGTGAAAAAAAAATACCTGTTTGTTATTGTTTTGTTTGTTTTCTTGGTAGTTTGTTTGGGATTCTGAAAACAAAACTTCAGTTTATTTAAAAGATAAGTTCAGTAAATTTATGTTTGGGCATGGAGCTATAAAAAGTTGGGAAGGTAAAAAAAGAAAGAATAATATAATTATGGTGGGACTCGAACCTGAGTCGCCTGATTGAGAGTCCTACGCCGGTCCAGCAGACCATTAACGCACTCAATGTTATACTAGTTCTGTTTAATTACAATTGTAAGATAGGCTTATCGTGGCTTTTCACGTTGACGCCCATGCACGCTTAGACTTAAAACACAGTCTGACGATGTAAAACATTCGTTTGATTTTGGGTGTAGCTGTTCTAGTTGATCTAAATTTAATTGGAAAGGGTAAAGGATGTCATCTGAACTAAAATCCTGAAATTCAATGAAATAAAACTCGTACAATCCTTGGTTTCAGTACGAAACACACGTGTTCAACGGATGCAGAGAAGCCCATTTCTTTTGTTACATTCCTTTGTTGAATCTTGCGTTAACAATAAAATGTTTCCATTGAGGGAAAAGGATTAAACGCCGGGATCTTTTTTCACGCTTGAGTGCATCTGAATGGGGAATATTGAAGCGGAAAATCACGATTTACATCACTTAGGCAGCACTTTATCCCACATAATGATACTTTTTGAAGAGGAAATTGCATACTGAATACATCTATAGTTTCAAAATGCAAAAATTCGCCGTATTTAAAAAGTCGAGGTAATTTTTTTGGAAAAATTTCACCAAAACTTTCCTCATCCTAACGTAGGCGGCGCTATATATATATTTCATTCTCAGTGCGCGCATTGTTAGCGCGATAGCCGCCGCCCGATCTGTGTATCACCCGTTTACCCAATCTTATCCTAGCATCACAATTTTAATTTATCTCACGAATTAAATTTGAATAGGTCTACAACTATAACAATAGATAATTAAAGTCAGTGAAAAAAATGCAATCTGAATAAAAGTCAACTTTAATGGAACAAAAGAGACGCGTATAAGGATATTAATAAAAGGGCCTCGGTATACACATGAGCAAGAGGGAGGCGGGAATTGTTTTGTCGTATGAGATGGGGGGGGGGAGGGGGAACAAGCGAAATATATTTATTAAAAGTCGTAAGTGGAGAAATATTTTTTTTTAAATAAAAGGGCTATAAACTGTACATGTATACAAAACAGGCAGCCAGCCCCGCCCCCATCCCCTTGCAATGCCATACACACACGCTAATGTGCTAGCCAACTCTGAATACGGTGCACGTGCGAGAATGGAATATATATATAGCGCCGCCTACGTTAAGACGAGGAAAGTTTTGGTGAAATTTTTCCAACAAAATTACCTCGACTTTTTAAATACGGCGATTTTTTTAATTTTGAAACTATAGTTATATTTAGTATGCAATTTCCTCTTCAAAAAGTATCATTATGTGGGATAAAATGCTGCCTAAGTGCTGTAATTCGTGATTTTCCGCTTCAATATTCCCCATTCAGAGACACTCAAGCGTGAAAAAAGATCGCGGCGTTTAATCCTTTCGCCTCAATGGAAACATTTTATTGTTAACGCCAGATTCAACAAAGGAATTTAACAAAGGAAATGGGCTTCTCTGCATCCGTTGAACTCGTGTGTTTCGTACTGAAACCAAGGATTGTACGAGTTTTATTTCATTGAAGTTCACGATTTTAGTTCAGTTGACACCCTTTACCCTTTAACAAATAAGTTTCCATCAACTTGAACAGCTACACTCAAAATTATACGAGCAGATTTACATCGTCAGGCTGCGATGTACGTCTAAGCGTGCATGGGCGTCAACGTGAAAAGCCACGATAAGCCTATGTTACAGTTATAATTAAAAAGATCTAGTAGTGCATTTGAGCGCGTTAATGGTCTGCTGGACCGGCGTAGGACTCTCGATCAGGCGACTCAGGTTCGAATCCCACCATGATTATATTGTTACTAAAATTTTCTCTTTACTTTTTCCCTTCCCCCAAAACAATTAGCGAACTTATCTTTTAACAAAAGTGAAGTTTTGTTTTTCAGAATCAAATACATCAAAAATATAAACACTAAAATTGCATTAGTTAGGCCTATATTCTTTTTTTTAATATATACTTAATCCTCCATCCATGTAATTGAAAACTATAGGAGAGACAAGTTTGGAGTTTTTTTCTGAAAATTATTTTAATTTTAATTCTTTCAAACTGCGTTTAACACTTTATATGAAACTTAACACATAGTTATCACTGCACTGTGTTATTATTGAAATAGTTGAAGAGCATTTTATTGCAAAAATGAAACATATTTTAAGGGAAGATACAACATTTCCAAGCATAAAAACGACATGGTCAAATTTTCACGAAATACTTCACTGGATTGTTAG